ACCCTAAACCCTAAACCAGAAACCTCAAGCCCTAAACCCTGAACCCCAAACCCTAAACCCTAAGAGTCTCCTGGTCTGGATGGTCGAAACCGAAGAGGCTCACGGATTCGCCTGCTGCAAGCTTCTCGGCATTGGCGGTCAGAAAGTCCTGGGTTTAGGGTGCAGAGAACTTGCATAGGGTTCGGGTCCTGGGTTTTGGGCGGATTTTGACCAAGTTGTGCCTGTTGCCTTGTCTCAACTTTACACTGCACATTCAGTTTGTTGGCTTTTTGTTTGCAATTTTTGGGGTGCATTTTTGCACCGCAAATCCAATTATCTGCATTGTTCTGTAACTTCGGTGCAATTTGGTCGGTGCTGATGCGAGGTTTTTTTCTTTTTGCCCTCCCGTAGACTGAAGCTTCAATAGCGAGGATTTTGTTGGCTGCAGGCCTCGGCTGGTCGGTAGGAGAAATGCTCAGCTTTTGATGGGGTGGTGCAGAGAGTTTCTATTTTTCAATGTTCGTTTGCTTGAGGGTTTAGGGGTTTCGGGGTTTAGGCCGCCCATTCCCGTGCCCATTCCCCGTCAGGCCTGGAAAGAGAAGGGCTCCGGGATCTCCGTGCTCTTGTCTTGGCAAACCTCACAAGGAGGGGCCCCCCCCCCTTCCATTGCTGACAGATCTCCCAAAGACCTTGAAGCCAATGCTACGGGGTCGCAGGTCGATCTTCCTCCTTCCAGCTTTGAGGTAGCTTCGCAGCCGGCGAATCTTCGAAAGCCTTGTAAGCCTTCGAAGAGAGTGCTATTCTAAAGAACGACAGATGGCAGAAGCGAGAGAGCAAATGCACCTCGATCACAGGTGGCAGATCCTTCCCCAGGTCGTTGCACCGGAAGAACTTTTCCCAGCGCACCTTTTCACCTTGAAGAGAAATTGATGTTCACCCACGGGCCGCCGCTAGAAACGACAAAGCAACATGGAGCTAAGGCACAGGTATTGAAGTCCTCGTAGTAGATCAGACCATCCATCTCCTGCAGCCCAAAGCAAGAGGGTGGGTGCCCCTCTGACTTGCGACCTCCATTTCATGCAGTATTCAGCGTCATCGAATCGATCTGTGCTTGCGCATGCCTTTGTCGTCTTCTGTCGTGAGACTCGTGACAGCCCAGAACTAGGACCTCCGATGCCCTTGCTTGAAGCTGTTCTGTCAGTTGAGGCGTGTGAAGCATCAATTCCATGATTGTTCCTTAGCATCTAGAGCTTGCTTGCTGTGAGTTTCCTCATACTTACCCTTGTGTTTGCCAGTCGTGATCTTTCCTGACAGCATCCATGGCTTTGCCGTCGTCTAGTTCAAGTGTGCGTGTCATCACACTTCGTGCGGATCCGGACGCGACAACCGCAAACCATATTTACTTCTAGAAGAAAACCCCGTTTTCCGAACTTTTTCAAGTCTTCGGATGCTCTGGATCGCGCAGTCTCTCACAAGCCATTTTTGGTTGACCTTTTGGGTCTTCTTCGCTTGCTTCGGTTCGTGCAGTCTCGGATGCATGGATGCAGAATGACCGATTTCCAGACAAAGAACAACAGTTCTAGATTCCAGGTGTGCCTTGCAGGAGGCTGGGCTGTGAATGTCTGAATGTCTCATAAGCCACATTTGTCGAACTCTGGTAATTCGCTCTAACTAGAAACCCTATCCGAAATCATATGCCTACACTAAACAAACCTCCTGCACTCCAAAACTCTAAAAGCCCGACCCCAAACCCCTGAATCCCATCCCGGGCCTGTCCGAAGCTGCGGTGGAAACCAGCGCCGAAGTGAATGGTACCCGGGGCGGAAGCTGGTGGTGGCTAAACCACTGAAATGCCACCCCCCCCCCCCCCCCCCGCCCCCCCAATTCCTCCCTTGCCCCAATTCCTCCCTTCTGGGTGGCGTCGGCGTGTGCGGGCGGTTGTCGTTGTTTCCGGAGGGTTTCGGGGGTTGTGGGTTTGGGCGTGAAGGCGGTTGGCAAGGGACACTTTGCCAGTGACAGGACTCGTTCTTTCAAGATTGTTCTGATTGACGAATTTGACGACATGCCCGTGACCACCCCGGCCCCGGGCGTGGAGCCTTGTCTTCTCGTCGCCTTTCCACGACCAAGCCGAAGGAACCAGCCTGTCAGGGAGAAGCACTTGGACAACGAGACTTGTGTGATGAGCAGCCAAGCGCACATTAGCGAGCGAGGGAGAGGGAGAGAGAGAGCGGGGGAGAGACAGCGAAGCTGTACCTGAAGATTACCGGTAGCACGGCGTTGCACATGCGATGTTGGGCGAAAGCGGAAACGTCCCCGAGTCCCGCAGAGCCTCGGGTCTTTGTGGTGAGTGAGGAATACGGGACGGCAGGCAGAAGACCTGACCCTGATTGATCTTCACCTTCGGGGCGCCATCAGAGCCGCATAGAGCTTGAAGCTCCAGGACCATCTGAGTGACGGACCAGCTTCCTCTTGCCTTTCTGCACAGTTGGCAGCTGGATATTGCCGCGAAGCTGGAAGAAGAACTCACTCCCTGTTCCCAGGAGTGCAATGGACTTCATCCGAAGTTGGGGCTCTGCTGGGGCACACAAGTTGAGAAGTCGCACTGGCCCGCCTTCCTCCAAGTGAAAGTCTTTGCCTTGCACTTCAGCAGATCCATCTTCTGATTCGGACATTCTCTATTGGCCATTCAGATCAAGTGGCGGGTGTTAGGACCACCAACGAACCTCGTTGCCGGAGCAGTGGCGTTGAGATCACACGCTGCAGACAGGCGACAAGAGCAAGCACTTAGCAGAAGGCATGATGCTCAACTGGCCCCTGTGCATCAACTTGTTGCAAACAGGCGGAGAGAACTGCGCCTGCGCGATAAGAAGCCCACCTAGTTTGATGAAGGTAGGACTGCCGGATGCAAGTGTGACAAGAGTGCTGTGTCCTTGTTCTGCTCATACCAGTCCTTAGAACGCGAACCAGCCAGTTGCAAAAAACAAGAAGAGCTTTTTGTGCAAAGCATTCTTGGACTGCTCCAGAGGAGGGCTGAGGATTAAGCATCGATATGGTGGAGCCTCAGCAGCAAAAGGCAAGCACACTGCTCACCCACACGTCCTGAAGACCCCCAGAGCTTGCCACGCGCAGAGGCCAGGTGGAACCACAACGCCGTCTGTCCTCGTCGGCGCTCCCTACTTCCGGCTGATTTGCGTAGAGCTCTTGTCCGTCCTTGCCCGCTTTGCGGGTGGCTCTGCTTGCTGTGGGGCAGCCGACATGATGACACAAAACAAGGAGCTTGAGCCCAGAAGACAAGCCCGAAATTGCTGCATGTGACTTTACGCATGCGAAAGCAAAGGATGCGGAAGGCGGAGGCACCATGCGAGCTGCACAGCCTGTACCGTGCGGAAGTAGACGCCCCAAAGCCTCGGCTTCGCAAAGAGAGGGCACCTGAAACCCTCAGACCTGAAAAGAGACCTGAGGATTCACCTGTGAAGCTGGCGCAAAGGCTGTGAAGGTGGCACCGGTGATGCTGAAAGCTGCAAGCGCGACCTTGAGCATTGTGCTGTACACATCACGGGCTTTGAAGCTGATGAAAAGGGAGGCCTTCTCGCCGAGGCTACCCTCAATCTGTATATACCTAAGCAGCATGTGCATCCCACAGACTACAAACAGCCCAGCAGTGGCGAGACGAGAACGCCCCACCAACGAAAGACAGGCAGCATACAATGGCAGACGGAACAGCATGCGCAATTTCAGACATGCAGAAGGCGGAGACTTCTTCACGCATCTCGTTCCGGCACGAGGCCCCACATGCTCCATATGTTTCACGAACAAACGTGCACACTCGATCTGAGCTACAAACAAACAACGACTTGCATGGTGCATCAAGTCGGCCAGCGAAGCCGAGCAGCAAGTCCTGTTCCCTGTGAAGAACCGCGTCGCAGGCCATGCTAATGAATAGTAAGCACCTCGGCTCTGGCAACGAAGTCCACGGCTGCAAATGAGGCTCAGACTCAAGAGGCAATCATGATGTGTGTCGCTGGTCTATTTACTTGTGCCTGCCGGGCTAACACCTCATGTCCAAAACCAAGAGCTAGGGAATGCGCCGGAGTAGGTTCAAGCCTCAGCCCGACAAACACATGACATACTGTGACCAGCTTGACATCGGACTCTCAAGACCAGACTCTCGGAATTTCTGGGCAGCATGCTCAGGAGGAAGTAGGCCCCAAAGCTCAAGCTGCAGCCGCAGCAGCCTGTCAGGACTGGACCAGGCAGCCGTAGCACCCTTGCTCTGAATTTCGAGGGAAGATGTTAGTTCCCATACCCCAAACCCTGAACCCTAAACGCCAAACCCTGAACCCCAAACCCTACACTCCTAAACCCTACACCCCAAGCTACTGAAGCCCTCTCTGCAGGCGTGGGACATTGATGCGCCAGCTGCATAGCTGCACTTGCCTGGCTGTTTTGGGGGCTTCAGAACCTTGCAACTAATTGTTCGGGTTTCCTTCAGAGTTGAAATGTCCCCCCTTAACTGCTCGCCCTCATCGGAGTTTGGGGTTGGGCCTTGGGCATTGAAGATCCTCCTTTTGGGGAATTTAGGCTTCTCTCTCAGGGTCCCCACCATTTTCTGAAACTCTCATTGGCAAGTAGAAGGCAGCAGCCCCAAGGCAGCAGGCAGCAGCACTTGCTGCCCCAACAGCCCAGCACATTGAATACGAAAACCAACGACCCCTAAGGCCAACACACAACCAGGACCATGCAACCCGGATCAAATCCTTAACCATGCCCCGTGACAGCATACCAACAACGCTATGAGACTCTAAACCCGCCTCTGGCCTAATGGGCAAGGAGACGCGAAACCCTAAGCCGTCAACCAGCCTGTGCGACAGGCTCCCTTTGCAGCCGCGCTCCCCTCCCTCCGGCCTCGAGTTCGTTATTGACGGATGGTCACGTACTTTGCAAGGTAGTCACGAGAGGATGGCGTAACTCTTGAGCCGAGTGCACGAAACATGAAGTTCAATCTTGCAGAAAACTGACAGCCGACATCACTGGTTGCATGGGTCACTTCGCCACACCAGGATCAGCCAACAGCTGACAGAAAGCCCCAAGCCTCTGATTTGGAGAGGGCGCTGGTAAAGCTCCGCGCTTCAACATACCAGGACTGGCAGGGCAGGAAGTCGCCCCATTCCATGCTCGGCTAGGTGACATCACCCCACTTCTGACAGTAAAGAGAGGGACAACTTGCGATGCCATCGATACTTCAAGTAACACGTAAGCATGCTTACTCGTCAAAGACTAAAAGAATATGAAAGAATGAGAGGAATCACGAGAAATTCCGGAGCACAGCACCGAGCAGCAACTACAAAAGGCTGGAGGAAGGAGAGGGCAAAACATGTCGCAGTTGCGGCGAGTCTCTGAGCCTGCCTCCCGGGTAAGTCGCTCCACAAGCATTGCGTCAAAGCCCAGTAGCATAGATCTGCCAAGGGAGTCTGTCCGGTCTCTACTCCTGTAGCTCTCATGATGGAAGACCAGTGGACAAAAACGGTTCAGGTTCCATGTCCACAAAGGAATACTAATACATCTTGTCAAGGCTTGCAGTGAAGATGGCCTCGGAAGTGTTTTCTCCAGCTGGGTATACCGCCGCTGCAACTGGATGAGCTCCCAAGCAATCTGGTGACATGAACAACATGCCCAGCATCCTACATCAGTCACGGAATCCCGCACTCCTACTTGCAGATTTGTAACCGGTGGCTGCATTTTGGATTGTCCTATGCCTTTTGCAGCATTGACAGTTGACCGATGCTCGCCTTGCCTTCAATCTCGCCAGCTGAAGCTGCTGCGCATCCTTCTGTGCCTAACAACAGCAGGTGCAGAGTGTACACAGCAAGCCCGGCAAAGCACAATCGGGCACAGCCGAAACACTCTGATACTCTCTGTCACAGTGCCGAAACTCTGGGATCACAGCGCGCTGCTGTCTCAGCTGCGCAGCGTGCGAATGAAGCTTGGCCTCTTGTAGATGTTGTTTGAAATGGGCTGGGGCCCATATATATTATATCATATATAATATATAATATAATGTATAACATATATTATATAATATATATATATATATGTATCTTATATTATAAATCCTCTCCAACTAGGTCTCGCCCAGCCTCGCTGGCGCGTTGGAGATCTCCCCTGGCCTCGGTTCCAAACACAGGGTCTCGAATCTCGGGATCTCCCAGAACCCTGCCTCTGTCAAAGCAGCAGAGTGACTCATGCTTCGGTTCAACTCCTGTCAATTGAACTGCTAGTCTCTCGAAAGACTCCTGATGGCACTGTATCACACTGCATAGATCCCCCGCGCTCCACGTAGCTTTTCGCTCGGCTGGCAAGGTACTCGCGACCTGTGAGCAGAATCGCATAGGCCAGGTCTCTGACTTCAGCACAGAAGCACGTTTGCCTTCGGGAGTTTGCTCGAAGAGCTTCAGCTTTCGCCGACCCTCCTGCAGATCATCGGGCACAGGGGGCTAGAGTTCGAACAGAAGTAGCCGCAATACATGGGGGGGGTTCTGTAGGGCTGTCTTGGTGCATGCCGGGCCGTCTCTACTAGGCAAAGAGGAAAATCATCCAAGAGAAGCTCCACCAGTAAAAATCAAAATACGTCGGGAGGAAGGAAGACACGCAAGAATTGCCCGTCAAACGGTGCGGGTTAGGGCGTGTCATTTTCGGGCCGGAAGAGGTAAATAGTTTGGTTCAGGATTCTTAGAATCCCTCTGTGGGAGGTGTCGAGTTGGTGGGGTTAGAGGTTGTTGAGGGTGAAAGAATCCGGGCATCACGTGTGGGCTCCAGATTGCTGCGAGCGGGTTATCCGAAACCAAGCACACATGCAACATGCAACACGCAACCCCACAACCCACAGTATCCTCGAGGGATCTCTCCAGGAAGTCTCTGAAGACACGCTGACTAGCTTCTCGCATCTCCCTCTCCTTGCCACTGCATTCATGAGTCCTGCGAAACCCACGAAGCAAAACTATCCGCCTTCTTCTCCAGGTGGCGAAACGCTTCGATCTGAGTGACCTATCTCGGCAACTCACATTATCTATGCCCGAACCTCCAGCACATTCAACATTCTGCCACCTGCCAGCCGCCTTGGCCATTCCCTTTCTGGATAACTCTATGTCTGCAGAGATTGCTGCGGTGGGCCTGTGCAGCAACCAACTCGTCTGCTGTCGCCTGAGGTCGGGCAAGAACTACAAACGAGACCCTCAGCCCTGAAACCCTAGACCCGGTTCAGTCGAGCTTCTCATCTTCACCGACACAATTTGAGGGTTTACGGTTTAGGGCTTAGGGAAAAATTACTATAAATCCTAAACCCCTAAACCCTTAAATCCTAAACCCCTAAACCCTAAACCCCTAGACCCTAAAACCTCGACTTTCTAAACCCATGGAAGAAAAGACTGATGCTGGCGGGCCGCCTGTTGGTCACCTTCGTGAACCACGGGCCGGGACTCCGTGGGAATGCTGCCTGCCATAAGAATAGAGTTTAGGGCCCCTTAGGGTTTTAAAAAGGAACGGCCCTTGGGGGGTAGAGTAGAGTTGAGGGCCCTGCAGTTAGGGTTTTGGGCTTAGTTGGGTTTACTTCGGTTTTTTAGGGTTTAGGGTAAGGGCTTAGGGTTCAGGGTCGTTCCTATTGCCGCGAGCATGAGTCACCAAAATAATTTCAGGACCTGCAGGAAACGTCCCTGCCCACCTGATCGTTGCTTGGGCCCACGGCTTACCTGGCAAATGACCCGGATAGATCAACAGCAGGCATTGGCTTTTCCGGAGCCTTGGAAGGCGCCATGGCCATGGGAGTAAAGGTACACTCGGACAGCTCCTGCAACCATTGCGCGAAACTAGACGATCATTGCATCACAAGTCACACAACGCCAGAAAAAAGTCCGGCAGATGTGTACTTCACTCCAGGACATGCGAAGGCTGCCAGCCTGGAAGGCGCGCAGCCGGGCCTGGCGCGAGGCTACAAGATGCTACATCTCGCCACATTCTTCAACGGCCTACTAAACCCCTTGTTACTGATCACTCAGTGCTGTAGTCTTGCCTCAGAGCGTTTCTTCTCCTGGCGTGTTGCTTCGAAGCTCTGCTGCTGGTTCATTCTGTCTGCATACCTGACACTTCCGCTAGCCCCGGTGAGGCTAGAGAGGCAATACAGAATATAACTTCTGACTTGCTTCGGGGCAACTTGTGGTTCGTAAGTCCCGGGCCAGTTTTGAAACTCCTCGTGATTGAAATGCCTTGGGCTGCACGTGTTGGCAATGCTCTTCTGCAGCTCCTCCTCCTCTTTCCGCTTCTTTTCATCCATCTTCGCTTGCCACTTCATTTTCCTCATCTCATGATCCTCGTAGAGGTTCTGGTACCGCCGTCTCTGCGAATCGGATCGAGTGACGGCGCAAGCATTCGGTGTGGATGCGCGGGGTGATTGGCTGCCGGTGCGTGCTGCATAGGGCACCTCCCATGGGGCTTCCTCATCCTCATCCTCCTGGCCACGCATTGCCTCTGTAGCCGTGTTTTGGCGACTCCTGGCTCCAACAGTGCCTTCTGCGTGCTTTGGGCTGAAGCTTCGCGATCGCTGTGAGCGTTGCGAGTGCACGGAACGGACAGATCGAGGAGACGTGCAGGTCTCTTCTTCTGATTTGGCAAGGCTGTGCCTCGAGGCATAATGACTTTGTCCTCTTGGCGATGCTCGCTTTGGGCTTGTATCTTTGGATGTTGGGGTTGGCGCTTGGATCACGCTGCCCCTCTCCACGGAGTGGTGACTTCTCAGTGAAGCCGTGGAGTGATGCTTGACCATCACGTGCGCACCGGCTTGTGGATACCCAAATGGGTGAGGAAGCGCCGACCGCAACGTAGTGCTTGGTGCCGCCTCACTGTTCGGAATCACTCCTGAGAAGAATCGGACAGCTGGCGGAGTGGCGCAAGGGGTGACCTGTGGCGTCTGCGAGTAAGTTGATTGCTGCAAACTCCCCGTGCTGTAGCACCGCTGCATCCCTGTGCTTGCCGGTGGCAAAGCTTGCGGCAGGCCTGAAAGATCTGAGGCACTTCAAAGCCGCAGTCAGAGCCCTACACCATACACCGGCAGACCGAGACACGAGCTGTGCACGGGGGTCGCCTGCAGCATCACCCAGCCCAGCCACACAAAGCACCATTCCAAATCCGAGTACAGATGCTTTGGCACCTTGGCCGCCACCAGTGGCACGCTGCCCACCGCCAGCCTGGCTGCGATCTGTCTCTGTCTCTGTCTTGTCATACACCGGCGACTTGCCAGTACAATGCAGCTGAGACGCGGCATGGTGCGGATCTGTGGCGCCGGGAGGGGCAGCTGAGGCTGAGACCTTACCATCAATCATCGACACTCGCAAACTCTCACGCCAAGGCACAAAATCACCACATTTGCTTTCACGATGGGCTCCCCTCCTACCTCCTACCAGCATAGAAGCTCTGTAAGGGGTTGCATTCTTGCAGGAGCTGAGTCCCTGGCGCACTCGCCACATGCTGTGCCAAGGGCGCCGCGCCGAAAACCGGAGCCGGCGCTGGTCGAAGCATGGCGGGTGTCACAGGTGTGTCATACGAGGCCTGAAACATGATCTTTGTGACGCGTCCCGAGTTTCCTCTCAGCATGGGGTCATGCTGCTGGAGCAAGCTTGGGTGGAGGTCCGTGAGAGCTGTGCATCGGGATCCGAGCCTGAAGGACGCAGACAAGTGAAGTCAAGTGAAGCTACATCTGCCCTTTCATCTTCAGAAGCTTCGACTATCGACTCGCAGACATTTCTGTCACTCAAGCCAGCGCTCGTTGTTGACCAACAACTCCTTCCATCAAGAGGGTCACTGATCGGCCCAGGGACCTGCCAGAAACTGCTCCTCTGTACTGTTTCTGAGCCCAGGCCCTATCTCGAACTTCCTTCTGACAAGAGCTGAGCACGGCGCTGCTTCTGCACGGAGGAAAGGGAAGGCTCCTTCCTCGCAGGCGAAACTAAACGATGCTGGCCTTGACGTACCCTTGGTACCGGACTTCCGGATCTCCCAAGACATGGCCATGTGAGGCTTCCTCCTCCAATCGCTGACACAAGGCCAGGACCTGCAGCGTCAGATATCAGCCACTCGTCTCTGCTCGAGGGTAGGTACGCCACTTCGAGTTAGAATTGACTGCCGCATGTTGCAGTGGCTTAGGTTGATGCATGTGTTGGCAAGCCGTCCCTCTACTGCTTTCACTGAAACGCAGAGGATTCAACATCACCGACAGACCCACCTCTGCCTCGACGTCATTGCCCTGGGCACAAAAGCGCACTGCTTTTCCCGCCAGATCACTTTCAATTGCAGGGAGCTGACCGTGGCGGCTTTGAAACGAGCTCGGGGGCTGTGAGAGGACCTGGCGGAAGCTTGCAAGCTGCGAGCCCCAACTGCGAGTCTCGCCCTGCTTCCAGTGCTGCTTGGCCACTCAGGCGGCTTCTTCAACTCGCGTTGGAGCTCTCCCAACTCCTACGCAGCCACGATTCGAAGAAGCAACCAAACATGAGCCTATACCGTGTCTACAGCAGTGTGCACGGCCTCACGGCAGCATCGCAGCTCAACTTGGGCCTGACGCATCGGAGCTCAGCCTTGGCATGTGGCCTTGAAAGTCGGCAGGGCGCCTGCGAGGCCTCGGCAGCACGCTGCTCTGCCCGCTCCTGTCAGGGACCCAGGGTTCTGGCTTCGCGCCCGAGCTTCTTTTTCTTCTGGCCTCCGCTGCTGCGATCGACTCATCGCAAAGGCGGCGGCACCGGTCCTGCGGCACTCGTCTAGCTTGCACTACCTTGCTAAATTCATGTCAGCGCAACGCAGCCGGTGATTTGCTCGCTGGGGAGCAGGAGCTGAGCGGCGATGCTCCCGCGAGTCCATCTTCTAGGCATTCCCACTGCAGCTGTTCAAGCTTGTGCTGTTCCTGTGCAGTCAATGCTCTCTGCAGTTGCTGTTGCTGCCGTTGCCGCTCTGGCTGTCCGTGTTGGCGAGTCGGCTGTGTTGTTGGGCCAGCAATTTCTGAATCTCCTCCCGAAGTTGCCAACCTTCACGCTCAGCCTGACGACATGCGAGTTGTGCCCACTTCGCGTTCAGAAATCTCCATGAACAGCATGAAAAACTTCCTCAACTCGACCAGAGGCCTCCATTGCAACAAGGGATGCCTTCAGGTGACCTTGTCGGAACACGGCGATGCTTTGCCGTGGTTTGCAGCCCAGAAGTAAAGTCACCAAAATAATACCGAAATCAAAGAAGCACTTAAACTTGAAAATGGTTCGATTGAACTGCATCCTGATGTCATGCAATGTATCCGAGGCAGAAAGGCCCCGCACAATCCCGACAATCACATGCCATCTGCTTCTACTGACCCAGCCGGGAATGGCCCGGCTCCTGTTCATAAAGCCTCTGTCAAGCAGCCCAACATTGTGACTAAGATTAACAGATAGATAGATAGATAGATAGATATGTATGTATATACAGGCGCCACCCGGAGACGGTAAGGTGTCTGACATTGCAGACACGGAGGCTGCTTGGGCCGTTTCAGCCGTTGACAGGGCTTCCACCAGCGCCCCTTCTTCCTCTTCTGTGAGGAAAAATCCCTCCGGAATCTCGTGATTCACCTGGTCCGCCATGACCTGAAAGCGGCAAGTAGGGCGAGGGACGCAGGGTGAACAGAGCAAAAACGGCTGCGGGAAACAGGGGAACAATGAAGAGGGGCAAGGCAGCATGGTTTGCAAGGCCGAAGACAGAAGCTGCGCGCACCATTTCTGCAGCTACGCTGGCCAGCGTGCAAAACAACTGGTGCGAGTGCAGAAGATGGCGTCAGCAGTCGCCTTCGTGCAAAAGCTGTCCGGGTCCAGCTGGTGAGTGCGGGCGCCACACAGTGGGCGGAGCCAGACAGTGGAGCCGTCAACTTCGATTAACTTGGAGTGGAGCGCCGTCGGCTCAGTCTGCATGGCCACATGGACAACGTTGCTGCGGGCGTTCCAGAGGAACCCGAAGGCCGAGACCGAGGCCGACGGAGGCGGAGCCGTGGATTTAGGTGCCGTCGGTACTGGCGGGGCAGTCTGCACCGGACCCTCGTCAGCCGACGAATCTGACGATTCGGAGGAAAGAGACTCCAATGCGGCCTGAGTCGGCCGTCCCAGGCGCGTCCCCCTGCGCAGGAACAGGCGAAGAAGAGGCCACAGGGAGGCAAGGGCGAGAGGGGAGGGCTTCCGGTAAGCAGTCGTCGGAGAGCGGTCCCAGTTCCGCAGAAGATGGGAGAGTCACCGGAAAGTCCGGCAGTGGCTCCACCAGACCCCGTGCCATCGGCTGAAGCGGTCGAAAACCCGAGCGGACAGCATCCACCACAAGTCTTTGCAGACGCAGCATGGGTAGGATGTCGTCACGGCTGTAAAGGGAAACGGAGCGGTCGGAACCAGACTGACGATGATGTCCTTGGATCCGCCGTAAATCGGAATCCAGGTGCAGCTGTCTGGCCCAGGAGAGCACAGTGCACTTTAAGGAGTGGGCAGCGACCAAGCCAAATGCCGCAGGAGCAGGATCCTGGCTAAAAAGGCGCCAGTGTTTCAGCAGCAGACCGCGCAACCAGAGAACCATGCGTTCGCGTTTGAGGGGTGCAGAGATAATTGGCCGAGCTTCAGAGCCAGAGAGCGATGACGGCAGAAAGTCAAGGTGGCGTTGAGGGTTAAGCGCCAGGGTGTCTGCAACAGACTGGCGCAGAACACTAAGAAAGCGGAGGCACCAGCACTGCGAGGAGGTGCCACAGAGCCCTGCCGCTAGAATGCCGAACGGCATGCCACGTTTTGTGGTCTTAGTGCGGAGACAGATCCCCACGAGAGCATGTGACTGAGGTTGATAGTGCAGGCGTGCGGGCGGACACCAGAGGGCATCGCCCCAGCGCAAAGAACCCCAGACACAGAGGAGAAGGTATCCGACCCGCAGGATCTCGGCACGGGAAGATTGCGGGTCCAGAACACACTTTTCCAGAAACAGAACAAAACTGAGGCTCAAAGGCAGACTCTCGCGGTGCTCCACCGGGTGGGAGGCCACCGAGAAAGCCTGGCAGATGGGGGTGCAGAGACAGGCCTTGAGCTTGGGCAGTCCAGCGGTTTTACAAAACCATGCAAGTGCACGGAGTTGCATCGTGGCCAGACCTTGGCGGCTGGATTGGGATTTAAGCCAATCCGGTAACAGACCTGGCGGCGGATCATGGGGTGCTGCTTCGGCCAGCTTACAAAAGGAAGACCAGTTGAGCCAGGTGTGGAGGGGGCGAATTTTCGAGCCGCCCGGTCCAGCAGAAAGTCGCGGTTTTGTGATGCACATGCCTCCGTGTAGAGGGCAGAGGCAGAACCCAATTCGGAGAGAAAATCCCGCCAACGGACGAGCAAAGCAGAGTATTGCTGGTCCGTTTGAGAAGCCGAAGACTCCATGGAAGCACCGCTCGCCAGTTGCATGCTGTGAGTGGCGGAAGCAGTGAGCTTGAGCTCGAGCGGCGCCGGCGGCGGAGGTAACGTCGCTGGAGCGAGCAACGGAACCTGAGACACCAGCGGAAGGGCCCGGAACCGTTTGACAACCGGAGGGACCGGAATCGGACAGTCAAAGCGGGGGGCCGGGCGGAACGATGGCAAGGCAAACGTCGCGGGCAGAGAGGGAGAAGCCGCGGCCATACCGAAACCACGAGGGCGAGCAACAGGGGCGGCCACAGACTCTTCCCCAGAAGTGGCCGACGTGCGGGAGGTGGACGGAACATCCGCGGCACCAGTCATCATGTAGATGGCAACGGCGACGTTAGCGGGAAGCATAAACAAAGCTGCAGAGCAGAGCGGCTGCAGCAAAGAAACAAAGCTGACATGGAAACCTGAGCTGTGACAGACACCGGAGCAGAACTAGGCACGCGGTGGTCACACAGGCAGGCAGTATCCCAAACACGGTCCTCGGATGCATGAGAGCACCGCGAGGGAGACCGGCGTCGGGAGCATGAAGAAGAGGAGTACCGAGTCCGGCGACCTGGGCGCAGACAAGCGGAAAACAGATGGCCGCCGGGTCAAAGTGAGCACCGGGCGGGCAGAACGTGAAGAGGGCGAAGACCGTGAAGATGACACGGTTCGCCTCCGGTGATGTCGCCGTCGCCGACCTGGTCGGGCAACGGGCAAGCATCACAAGAAGAGAGAGGGCAGGAGCGCCTCGCCTCTAGCCATCACAAAAAGCTGCGGGCCAGCACGCCCTCAATCAAAAGCTTCGGTACCGGTTCCAGAAACGGAACCAGGACCGTCTGAGCCCGCAGCTGCGGGGTCAGACGAGGTTCCGTTGCGGGCTGGCCAAACAAACCCAATCAAAGCTCGGAATCCAGCCCAACATTGTGACTAAGATTAACAGATAGATAGATAGATAGATATGTATATACATATGTGTATGTATATATATGTATATATATATATATTATATTCATTGTGTACAAAATCTTGCATATTACATCATCTTCGAGGATCCAGCCAAGCTCTTTCCGAAGCGTGGCTGCCGCGCGCTCCGCAGCAACCCGACGCCGCGTCTGATGTTCCACCTCAAGCCGATGTGCATCGTGTTTGTATCTATAAGCGCACACACGGAACATCAAACTACATGGCCTAACCAACTGCTTACTTTACAGCCCTTCTTGAAACTGTTGAAATTATGCGGCTTTGTAGTTCTGGATGACTTTCAGGACCGTCCGGGTTTGCAGGATTCTAGGAGGAGATTTGGCGCGCACCTTCACAAATACGTCAACTTTCAGTGCTGCCGCAGCCCACACGAAAGCAAGAAGCAACATGCGGTTCTGCCCTGGCTTGGACACAGCAGACTCGTGCAAACCCGAAGTAACCTTCGCCGGTCCGAAAAATCATCACACTCCAATGCTGCTCTATCGCGTGAGACCTATTCGTTGTCATGGACCCAGGCACAAAGGCTGTCACTTCCTCAGGTTTCTGTAGGAGACAAGTAGACGACTTGCTTCGGGTCGCAGGAGAAGCTGGTGGCTGTGGGCACATGAACACTGCGCTGCCACTGCTGCAAACGACAGGTCTGCAACTTCTGCTGGAATGCCCTCGGGGAAAGGCATCTGTGGCTGTTTGCATCTTGCACATATTTGTTCGTCATGATGTCACAAACTTGGACAGCTCACACACAGCAGCCTCGTGGCGTGCATCGTCAAAAGATGCCTCCAAAGCAGCACCTCGGAGCACGGAAGTGTTTGTAGCTGTATAACTCATCCTGCGAAATGCGATAGTCTGAAGGGCCCTCTTGCAGACATCACGAGGCCTCCCACCCTCTCACAGGCGACAGAAAGGTGCCTAGGGCCTACAGAATGCCTGGAGTCGGGAGTCCAGCAAAGAATCCTGTGAGCAGAACCTCACTTGATACACTCCACTCACTGCCGTTCATGCTCACACCATGCCACAACCATTTTGCAATGGGTACATGCGGCTGTGTTGTTCACTGACGACCGGTAAACGGCTGCAGTGCTTTCGTTAGCGGTCGTGCCACTCGGCGCGGCCTTTCCGGACGCCACCTTAAATGGAGCGGCTGCACCAATCGGCCATGCACATGCCCTGCCTTCGGCAGTGGCTTAGGTGCGGGGAAATGGGGAGCGCGGAACATCTCATCAACAGGTGTCAAGCACGGTTCTGTTTACCTGGGGAAGCCCATCCAAGTGGTCAAACCTTCGGGCCACAGCCTCTATGCTAAATGCCTGATGGCACTTTATCTACCTAGGGAACATTCAGCCTCGGCGGTTTCCTCACAAGTGCTGCTGGATCCAGGAGGCCACCAGCTTCAACTGAGCGGAGGAAGGACGAGATTCGATCCGGTGCTCTTGTCTGGCCTACCTAGCCAGTCTGGTCAACCGATCGATCGACTGCTGACGGTCATATGAGCTTCGCGCATATTCCTCTTGGATGACGAAAGTCAGCACATGAAGCCCACCTGAGGACACCGAAAGAGGTCTTCCTTATCGCTCCCGCTTCTGCCGCTCTTCTGCCGCTCTTCTCTCCGCTCGGCTCTGCCTGCATCGACTCGATGCATGACCTTGTCCTCGGAAGCGCTCAGCTTCATCAGCTTCTCCGAGCCTTCGACCATGCAGATGCTGTCCTCCAAAAGCATGCAAAAGGACGAGGGCGACGAGACAGTGCATTCTTATACATAACTGCAGTAATAGCTCATAATAACTAGAATCTACAACGCCCACCCTTTTTGCAAGAAGGACGTGAAGAGCCGGGCCGTCCTTGGGGTCGTGGATGATTTGGAAGGGAAACCGCACCTCCTTCATCTCCTCTCAAACGCGAAAGATACTGCAACAAAGAAGCGCCGCATGCTCCGTTTAGGGAGAGTGGTTTCGAGTGCTTTCTGCGAGCTGCACTCTCCTACTGCGAGCTCCTGGTCAATTGCGGAGAAGATCGTCGAGTATGCCGATGCAGTGCCCCAACGCATCTTGAAGAACCAGCCAAGGCCTCCAACGGCTGGCAATGAGCGACCGCTGTTAAACAACAGTTGGCCGGCCGGCCATGCAAAGGATCCCGTCCTTTTTTGGGAAAACGATGAGCACAATCCACAACCTCCATCTCAGCCATGTACTTCTGCTTGGCGTCGCCTTTGCAAGCACACAAAAAAATCTCTGCCCATATGCAGCCTCCAGCACAGCTTCTACGTGGGTGCATGCTCGGGTACTGCACCACAACACTGAAGTAGGCGATGCCAGCCATGGCTACCACGGTAAGAGACGCACTGAGATCGAAATTCGCGCCCAGGTGGACCTTGCTGCTGGAACTCACAGCCTCGGTATGCGACATTCGGCAAGACTGCTCGAGTCCTCCACATTGCCGTAGAGGCCACCCTCGCTCTTTCGCTTATTGCTACTTTCAATCCATCTGCCGCATTGTGCTTCTAAGCACTCATCACTTTTGCGCAGGATTCATTTTGATACTTTCTAAGTAGTACATCGATACACTCCATAATACGCCTTCCTCTAGCTGCGCCTCATGGATGCCATTTTTGGATGGTTCTATCCTGCTTCTTCAGCTGCTGAGATCCTGTCTTCTGGCATTGGCTGCCGGGAGCAGCAGGGCACTACCTCAGCTTGTCGGAACGGCAGTTCATGCCGTGTCCACAACTCGACACGCCTTAAGATCTCCACATATACATACATTACGCTACACTACACTACACTACACCACACCACACCACACCACACTACATTACATTACATTACATGACATGACATGACATTACAATCAATACATACAATACATACAGACATTACAGACATACATACATGCACGTATGTGTTACATAATATGTATGTGTACATATATATATATATATAGATATAGATATATGTATGAGTCTAAGCTTGGAGCGCACCACCTCAAGAAGCTGATCACCGCCTCGCCAAAGGCTCATGATGAAGTCATGGGGAGGAGCGGGGGGGCAAAGCTGCCGGATCTGATCTGGAGAGTCAGCTTGGACTACGGGCAGAGCCCCCAGTAAGAGCAGGTTTTGCCTTGAAAGAGCGCCTTTTCCTCAAATCCGCCTGGGCGCTAGCCGCTCGGGATCTCGAGCACTTGTTGTGCTCCCAAATGAGCGACAAGCAGTGAAACATTATGAGTAGCATCAGCTTGCGAACAGAGCATAGCACGATGACGCACGCCCATGGCAATGTCGCCCATGGCGTGACAAAGCATCGAAAGGCTTGCATACATGCGCAGCAATAGCAGCATACGCTTCAGTCATCCGCCCCAACCTGAGACAGTGTGACCCAAGCATGGCAGAACCTTCTAGCCACCAAGCTACATAATACTGCAGATGAGGCCGAAGCCCGTAACCTTCCTGCGAAGTGGGCGCAAAGTCCACAAATGCCAGCCACGACCATGTACCTTACGGTGAAGCAGCTAGCAGACCTGCCAGTCTTCCAGCCAAGCTTCTTGTACTTCGGAGTTGTGGTCCCAGGTACACGAATGGGAAGAGGATGCCAAGCGTAGGGCTGCCCGAGCCGAACCTGAAAGAAGGAAGGTCAAGCTGGACACAAAGTGCAGGCAGAGCCTCAGAGCCCGGCATTGCCGTGGACCAGACCAGCAGGAAGAAGATCGAGGTGCCGGAGAAACACACGAGCGTCGGCAGCACCACTCCCTTCGACAGGGTATGGCAGGTCGCACCCAGGCAGACACCCTTAGATATATATATATATATATGTATATATATATATATATGTATATATATGTGTATAAATACATATATATATATCTATCTATCTATCTATCTATCCAGACAGACGGAGCCGGCCTTCGTGTCTTCCCAGAATGCCATTCTTTCGCAATTTCACCGACTTGTTGCTCTTTTTTTGTGCTGCCTCCTGGCTACAGGGAATCTGTGAGATCAGCAAACCTTCGAGCAGCGCGTTCCAACCCTCTTCGTGCATCCGTTTCATCTTCGTTCCGGGGCGTCGGAAGTCTGCTTGTGCTCTGATGGGAGAATTGGGTTTGACGGGAGGACGGATGGAAATCTGAAAGCCTGCACACGCCGGTGCATCCAAACACTCAAACTTCCGGATTCTGGGCGGAGAGTCCAGAGTTGACCATAGAGAGCATGAGGACCTCGAGCTTTAAGACCAGGGATCTTCAGACTGTCAAGCGCATTGAGGTTCATTGCGGTTGGAGCTCCCTTAATCCAATCCTTCAGGGTCAGGGTGCTTGGGACCGACCCCTTTTTTCCGGCGAAGAGGAGTGCCGACCTCCCCCGTCGGACGCCCGGCCCATTGAACTCCAACAGATCGCTGACATTCTGTTCTTGCGATCGATCTGGCTGGCGCTGAAATGATTGTCAGAATACTATGCCATATTACGAACCACGGTAGCAGCAGCAGCGGCAGCAGCAGTCGCGGTGTTCACATCATGAGAATTACCGCCATCATACATTCTGCGCACATGCATCACACAGAAAGAAGGACAAAAAACGAAAGAGGCAAACGAGTACGAGCACGTTCCTTGCTACAGCACATGGACCTTCGGCTTGCGACTTTCCGACCCCTCGCTAGAGCCTCTTGCAATGTCCGGTAGACTACACGACTGCACTTGCGCTGGTCAATCTTGGCCACAGAAACCATACGGATGTAGGTCCTGGAATGAGGCAGCTCGACAGCGGATGCAGCCATGCTTCTACGCTGTATTTGACGAAGAGGTGCAGACCTAGGCCTTGCTAAAAACCTGAGGCTTCCGGCCCTGTCCCTTGATACACAGCTTTGCATGGCTTACTCACGCCTACGCTGCTCCGTACATGGCGTCAGAACAGCACGGGCCACCGCGGCTGCATGCGGCTGCGGCATATTGCATTAAAGGAAGCTTCTGCTCTCAAGGACACTCCGAGGCTGCGCATGGCGGCCTGTGGCGGGAGGGGCACCTGGAGAGCTGGAGCCGCAAGGAGAGCGCCTGCGAAGACTCGGGCAAAAGGCAGAGGCGAAGGTCGTGGTTCGAAGCGGCCTCTGAAGATGCCGTCGAGCTTTTGGCTTCTCTGCAAGCGCAGGCCAACTCCGAGACATATCCTTAGTGCACTGGACTTAGGAGCTCACAGCTGTGACACTAAGGGAACTGGCCTCGGCATCTTCATGAAAGAGATGCGCTGCTTTGTTGATCATGCAGGGTAATGGCGCCCAGCGACCGTGGCCAGAGAGGGGCTGCTCTTTTTTTTTCGACCCCGAAATGTCTTTTTCTAGACCGTGCGATTGGTCCATCTTGTTTTCGGCCATGGGATGGCGCCGCGAGTGGGGCTGCATCCGAGGACCCTTC